ATTGTTACGACAATTCATTTGTCATTTTCAGTAGTAAAGCAAGTTATTATATGGTAAAACTTTTTTAAATCACTTAAAGTTTCTTCGTAAATGTTCAAGATTCATTTATCTGCAGTTATCGAATGTGCATAACAGCATATATTTGATTGAAATTAAGATATTTTTAAACAACAACATTTGAAGACCAATTAAATTAATGTCTCAAAATGCAACTCTCATTTTGAGCAGATGTAATACAGATGTAATTCACACAACAAACATCTCATTTGATAATTCCATTTGTGTTGGGAAGTCTATTTTAATATTATTTAATGTACATCATGGATCATGGTGCAATGTTAAAGACTAACTGCAATGTCTAATTCTTTCAACACCACAAAGAGAAAAAAGTCGGGTGCTGAGGATCGAAGATTAAAGAAAGCTAGACAAGAATTTTCGAAACTAGGGGGAGTTTTGCTTGATTACTTTAAATGACCCACCATGCATTTTGTCACAAACAACAGAGGAGTTAGAATTAAAACTCAGGGAAACGCCGAACATCAGTGAAGACCTTAAACAAGTGCATGCGCAAGAAAAATCTGAGTCGACAGATGTAAACAATCAAGATGAGCATACATTCAAATCAATCAAAAGCAATGATTCTGTTGGTGAATGCCCTGATATTGACAGCTTTGTCAATTCAAATGAACGTAAGGAAGGCGAAGGCATCTCAGAATCTGCTGAAAATGAATTGAATCGAAATATTTCTATTGATACGAAAGAAAACACGTTTGACCCTGGGACAGTTGTCGATCTTAATCTCAGCATTAGCGAAAAAGGCGTTTACTTAAAATGAATCCATGCCAACCATCCCAGTTTGTTTTGAAACAAAGGAGGATAGTACAAGGAGATCGCAAGGAAACCTGCTATTGCTCCCAGCAGGTTTTTTTCCACGATGATGGAACAAGACGAAAATGGATTTCTTTTCAGTAAGTCAAGACAGCTTGTTTTGCATACCATGCATTCTGTTTACAGATGTAACGTCTAGGAGAGAAAATATTCGGTCAAATCAAGGAAAAGATTTTGCAAACATTGGTTTCTCCAAATGGAAAAAGCAGTATATTAGAGTTATGGAGCATGAAAAATGCAATTCTCATCTAAACGCAAAAGTTGCAGAAGCTCTTTTCCTTCAAGAAAACTCAATATCGGATCAGTTTCATCACCAGGGGAAAATCGAGTCTGAAAGACATATAAAGGAAGTTGTTTTAAACAAAACAGTTGTGAAACGTGTGATAGATGTTATTATGTTTCTTGGAAGACAAGGGCTTTCCTTTAGGGGTCACTGTGAATCACTGACAAATTTCTATGTTAATAAAGGACACTTTTTGGAAACGCTTAAATTATTGTCAGAGTACGATCAACCAATCAATGAGCATCTTGAGAAAGTTCGTGATCACCAAGTGAAGCAATCGACAAAGGATGGTGGTAAAACTGATGAAAAAGGAATCAAAGGACGTGGCTCATGGCTAACGTTTTTGAGAAACGATATTCAAAATAAGTTAATCAATATCATTGGTAAAGAAATATCTTCTGTAATTGTACAAAAAATACGCAACGGCAAAGCATGGGCATTGATTGCTGATACAATACCGGATATAACTAATACAGAGCAATTGAGTATATGCGTAAGGCTTGTTAATGAAACTGGCGAGTGTTCTGAACACGTTTTGTCATGCAAAAAGCAATTGGAACAACTGCACATGACCTATACACTGCTATTACAACAATATTACAATTGCATGGAGTTTCATTTGAAAAACTTGTTGCCCAAACGTATGACGGAGCATCCACTATGAGCGGATGTTATAATGGTTTGCAGGCAATTATAAAAGAGAAAATCGGAAACCACATCATCTTTGTTCACTTCTATGCGCATACGCAAAATTTCGTCTTATCCGATTCAGCTTGTGTTGCTATTGATGTCATTACTCTTTTTGACACTCTCGAAAAACTGCACGTTCTCTTTAATAATTCTCATAAAGTACACGAATTGTTTCAATTGGTTCAAAAGAATGAAAACCTCAAAATTTTTTGATTAAACGTCTTAATACAATTCGATGGAATGCAAGAGAATTTTGTCTAAACGTATTTCTTTTGAGGTTCGAGTGCATCATGCGAGTGCTCCAAAAAGTAGCTGAGGAAAGATTGTACACTGAAAGTCAGCGAGCAACAGCAAATGGATTGCAAGCAGCTTTTCAGACAAAGCAATTTGTTGTGACTGCCTGTCTTTTCCAAGAAATTTTTGGAATTACTGGACCTTTAAGTCGATATCTACAGAGCGTAAATGCTGACTTTGGAAAAGCAATGGATATGGTTGATAGCTCAATTTCTAGAATTCAAATCATACGTGACAAACCAGAAAAAATCATTGAAATGTCCGATTCTTTTGCGTTAGATGTCGAATGGAGGTCTACACGACCTCGTCGTCGACGACCAATGGACGGAGAACAAGCCAGAGATGATTTGGCAGATTCACCAAAAGCACAATGGAGGCGAGACACATTTTATAAAGTGCTAGATTCCATTCAATCTTCAATGAAGAATCGTTTTGAAAAGAATCGACCACTAATGAAATCATTTGCTTTATTCGCACCCAATCAATTTGGCGAGCTCTCGAGCAAGTACAAGACATCTCACGATCTTCAATCTGCAGTGAAAGCCTTTTGTGATGTGTATAAGATAGATTCCCAAAGATGCACTACTGAACTGTTTAGCTTTGCAGAAACATTTAAAAAATTTCACTGTTCTCAGTTTACAACTCAAAGTGACCATGATCATAATGAGCAGAACTTTGAAAGTATTGATGATGGTGATGGTGATGATGATGATGAAAATCATTCTGATACTGACATAAGTAAGCATTCGAATAATGCGTCAATTACCGAGAAGGCTAAAACTCCATCATTCTTAGATGCCTTGAAGCTGCTTTGTTTTCCAAAGTACCATTTAGTCGAAGCATAGCCAACATTATGCAAAGTTTATTCAATTGCAGTGGCCATACCCATTAGCTCAGCAACTGCTGAACGTTCTTTTTCTTCGCTGAAGAGAGTAAAAACAAGGATTCCATCTACGATGGTACAGGAACGCCTGGAATCATTGCTTTTAATGGACGTTAAAAGGGAAACTCTCCTTTCTATTGACAAAGATAGAATCATAACTTTACTCGGGAAAACCTCCCCAGCGCTTGCAAAGGGATTAATATAAATATATTTTTCTATGAAGAACAAATAACGTAACAGACATATAATTGCTTGATGATACTTGGTTTTTAAGTTACTTCCTTTTTTATGAAGATTCATGTTTGTGTTTTATAAAATAAAAATAACTAAAATACTTGAAAATAGCTATAAGAAAAGGTGAAAGGGGTGCAAAATTTGTGTTGGCCACCGCAGTAAAAACTATGCCACCACGCCACTGTATATATATATATATATTATACAAAGTGTATATACAATGTGCCCTCCCGGCTATCACCATAGTAAAATGGTGACTCCTGCACTTGGGACACAGGACGTACGGTTACACATTGTATGGATTGTATTGTAGAGTCACCACAGTGCTCAAACCTATAAAGATGAGCTTTGCATATCGCGAACACGATGAATGTCTCCATATGAGACTCTACAAAATAAATATAGCACTATAGCACAACGGAACTTATACACAAAGATGAATAATTAAGTGTTTAGGTGATATAGTATTACATTAATGACATTAGTAAGTGTTTATTACGATGGCGGCATGCGGAAATGAGTTCGTTTCGTTTATTGAGCGAGCTGAGTTCTGGGTGTTAGATGATGAAGAATTTCTCCGAGAGGCATAAATTACAGCGTTTGGTTTTGTTTGAGTAGGGTTGTGATTTCTTTACAATTTTCCAGTTGATGGTGTATGGTGTGTTAGAGTCTTTTAGTTTCCATATGTGTTTGCTGAGTTCTGTGGAGTGTTGTTTTGATTTATTTCGAAATGAGCTGGTGTGGTTCAAGTAGCGTGTTTTAAAAGTGTTCTCCGTTAGACCGATGTAGGTTTCTTTGTGTTTGGTTAGTGTGTTGGTGACTGTGGCTTGCTAGACTACCCCTTTGGTTTGGCATTCTCCTTTTAGTGGGCATTCCTCTTTCTTCCGGTAGTTGCATTTTCTGTCTGTGGTGGCGTTTTTCATCGTTTCTTCTTTGGTTAAAACGGTCTTATTGTGTGTAGAAATTATCGTATCGATTTTTGGCATGCAACTGTAACTTAGCTTAAGTGTGTTTCTGTTGAAGATTTTGCTGAGTGGATGGTTTTTTGGAAAGGACCTGTTGATTATACTAAGGAACTTGTGTCCGATGTCTGTGTGGACATAGGAGTTGTATGGTGGGTTGTACCAGGTGATGTTTCTATTTCTGTTTTGGTTTTTTGACTTTCGTGTGGTTTGTGGGTTGTATTGTAATTTGCAGTTAAAGCCGCTTTTTGTTAGTGCTTCTTGGTATGGGTGTACGCTTGAGTCGAATGATTGCTTGTTGGATGAGATTCTTGAGAGCCGCTTGTGGATGGTTTCCGGGATTCTGCATAGGATAGATTGGGGGTGGTTGCTGTGAATGCTTATGTATTGAGGAATGTTTCCAGGTTTGTTGTATGGCTTAAAGGAGTCAGATCGTAAATCAAAGGTGATGTCAAGGAAGTTCACATCATTAATGTAATACTATATCACCTAAACACTTAATTATTCATCTTTGTGTATAAGTTCCGTTGTGCTATAGTGCTATATTTATTCTCCTGACGAGTGTGGCAAGTTAAACAACTGCCATACAAAACAGTTCTGTAGGGAATAAATTTTGATGAAGTAATTGGTGGTTTATTTTATTTTCAATTATACCGCTCTGCCGTGGCATTGAGCACTCTATCCGTGCGATTTTGTTTGCGATAGTTTCTATCACAAAATCCCATTATATTACGCTCCTTTATTGTTGAGCACTCTACATATCGATATGGAACCCACACACCTTGGATACTCGACGAAGAACATCCCAATAGCACAGCCAGACGTATACCTGAGATGCCTGATTGAAAAAACTCAAAACTTCCTACAACGCATGAGATGGAAGGCATATCATTTCTTCAACCCAAACATCGCACCGACACAAAAAGAGACATTCGGATTTAAGACCACAAAATCACCACCACCAATTAACGAACTGCGCGACTTCGAAGAAAGAATGTTATCACTTGTTCAGAATACTAACTTCCAACACTCAACCTCCACCTTCCAAAACAATCTACGCCAAGATATGAACAAAATCAAAAAAGACAATATGCTATTTGTGCCAGCCGATAAAACAACTAACTTTTACCGCATTAATCCGGACACATACGAACATCTCCTCCAAAGTAACATAACCAAAAACTACAAGAAAGCTTCACCAGACGCAAAAACCAAAATCATTAGGGAGGAGAAATCAATAGCGAAAGACCTCAACCTTGAAAGCAGAATCGACGCTCTAGCCGAGAAAGATTGCTTCATCACACTAAAAGACCACAAACCAAACTTCAACAACAACCCGACATCGCGACTCATCAATCCAACAAATCGAGATTGGCATCATCAGTAAAAAGATTCTCGAAAGGATCAATAACAAAATAATCGCACACACCGGCGTAAAACAATGGCAAAGCAGCGACTCAGTGATTGAATGGTTCAAAAGCATCCCCAACAAGCGCTCGCAGTCATTCATTAGCTTTGACGTCGTTGATTTCTACTCCTCAATATCAATCGACCTTCTACACAAAGCCCTGGAATTTTCTTCCGAATTTGTAGAAATCACAGAGGAAGACAAGCGCATCATCATACAAGCTAAGAATTCCCTATTATTCAACAGATCTGAAGCATGGCGCAAGAAAGGCAGCAGCTCAAATTTCGACGTGATGAAGAAGGTTATGAAGGCAAACATGACAGATTGTTGGACCATACTTTTCTTCAACAAGGACTGAATATCGGAGAGCCATATTGTGAAATGTAATTGCATCTTCCTCTAGCCATCCATTACGAGCATGATTGTGAAGAAACTCAGCCATACGAGTCAAGCATAACCAAATTTCCTTTTGCACATCTGACAAGAGACCATGGAAAACAACTTCTGATGCAGGAAATACAAACTTGTAGTACTCTTCAGCTGAAACAAATTTTACAATTTAATAATATTATTGATAAAGCAACACAAATTTACCTCCAGGTTCTGAAATGCGACCCCACGCAACTTTTAGGGTCTCCAGCGAATCACACACCTTTTAGGGTCAATTTACGGCATATTACCGAAATAAAATGTTTTTTATTGCGACAGGGATGATTCTATTCTCAATCTTAACAAATCTAAGAAGAATGTTGGAACTTTTAGGGTCTGAAATGAGTATCTCAGTTAATTTATACACACCTTATAAGTTAATTTATACAGACCTTATAAGTTAATTTATACACACCTTATAGGACAATTATCGAAAGCTTCCGTTGAGCTACCCTACCTATTTTCAAGAGAGTACCCCCCTGGGATTTACCCCACCTATTTATGGTAAGCATATAACAAAAAAGCTAGATGTGCTGCTATATGGGATGATGCCTCTGCTTGCAGTTAGAAAAAAAATATGTAGAGGAGAAAAAGAAAGATGGAATTTCACATTACCTTTCCAATATCCCATTCTGTTAACTATTCCTTTTGGCTTTCGTGAAGCATTGAACTCTAGAATTTACCAAATTTATATTATAATAAAATTACCAATTTTTGTGCAAAGCTTACCAAGCATATATTTGGAATCAAATTAAAACAATTTACATTCATCAGTCCCAAACCACTAATATTAAAACAGAAAAAAGATGAAGGCAATAGAAAATATTAAAATATTATCTGTGGAAATATTTATAATTTCTAAGACTCTAACGATGAACATAAATTATTAATCTACCATTAGTCCAGGGAAAATTCTTCAATCGCTTATCCACTTCTTTCCAATTGATTGCATCATTTTCATCTTCTTTAAACATTAGAAGTTGGTTTTTGACAACATTAAGAGGAAATGCATGCAACTCATCATACACTAAATCTTTGTCATATTCAAAGCCATATAGCTTATTTAGTCTGTGAAGAATTGAAAGGCCAGTATATCCTGATTCCTTTGCCTTTTTCTTTTTAACAGTAATTCTCTCTTCTTCTTCAATTTCTTGTAATGTATCTAGATCTTTGAGATAACTTTTTGCTTCAGGTGGATACCTTGTTAACCTCCGAAAGCCAGGATAATAATAATGGTTGGTGTCAGGAAAATACACACCTACATACAAAGATGCACAGTTTACATAATGTGAACCATGAATTTTATTATCTAAAACAATATCTATATGTCAAACCTTTCAATTTGCATCTTCGGCAGGGACACTTTCCACACTTAATAATTTTGCCTACTTCACATTGACCAACATGATCTCCAGACCAGCATAAAATAAGATGTCGTATGACTGCATTTCCCATCTGCTGCCCGCATAAGCTTACAGAGTAGTCCACGTTAATTCCTAATTTTAGAAGCAAACATTTATCAATATAATTTCTATACCAGCAAGTCTTCCTTAAAATTGTCTTCCTTAAAATTGTGCTAAAACATGATTAATTTTTATTACTTTGTAATCTATGACATGTCCCCCTCCCCCAATATTCCTTCCTATACAATAATATACTATTACCATTTATGAAACCATTCTCAATATCCCTAATCAATGGTTCAAGAAATGGATCAAGTGAGATTGGTGTTTTGTTGGGAAGCAAGTAGGTTGGCACATGAAACCTACAACATAAACCTCATCAGTAGTGCATCTGCTTGATTTTGACATGGTAGCGATAGTGACTTCAATGGCACCTGAAATAAAATAAATATTTGATTTAGCTTGTATAACATTTCATTGTTCAGTACATTTGTTAGTTGTGTTAAAGTAGTAATTGATTTTTGCAAAATCTGAACTAAAAGCTATAATGAAGAATTATATTTTAATTTTCAGGAAAGCATTACCGCACAAAAACAATTTACTATTGATTAAATTATAAATGTATAACAATACAAACCACAGCCTCTAGCTGTAGATGAAATGGGTTGCCATCCATCCCAATGTGCTGAAATATGCAAACAATAACAGTTTTCCAATTAGAATTCGATCAAATAGAATTTCATAAATCCCATTTGTGAATTTGTGAATTGAAAAAATTATAATACTATAGCAAAGTACATTTCAAATTTTTTATCACAAAAGAAATCCAAACAAAGGAATATACATCCTCCTTTGACACAATCCTCAATAGAAAGAAAAAAGAAGGGTGGGGTTAATATTTTGAGATAAATCTAATTTTATATACTTATGTAAGCTATGTTCCTTGGATCTCCAGTTGTTGTCTTTATCTCTGTTTCGAACTGATTGAAACAACTAGGGCAAGTGACACTCTGCTTTCGAAATGCAGTTGGAAAGTTAATGACCTTGGTTGCAGAAATCACAGTGTTACAGTCAGAATTTGGACAATATACAGGAAGCACCCATTCATCATCAGGGTTCCAAAAGTAAGCTAGCTCTGCAAACCTTTTTCCATCCCAGATTGGATTGTTGACAAACTGCACGGATATAATTATTTAGCACTAGAGTTTAATTTATGCATGTTTTAACTGACGCGTAATATTCAAGTAGTATAGTACATGGGGGTAGGGGATCAAAAAAAGTTTACTTTTTTATCCCATTAATGCATGTACTATACTATATATAACCTTTAAAACTATCTTTATAACAACGTAAAATAAGACCATGGTTCAAAGACGCCCTCTGGTAAAAGGTCATGTAAAAAAGCTGTGTAAAAAATAGTCATTATTTCAAAGGGGGTTAAAATCTCGAGGTTACAATTAATCGTTTAAAAACGGTCTTTACAAACAAATGTTAAGAAAGCATCGTTTGGAGGGGATCGGCAGCAAATTTTAGCGTAAGCTAAAATTGAGCAGGGGAATGGATCCCCCGAGAATTCTGGAACCCAGGTGGGGAAAATTTTTCACGAAGTGAAAAATTCGGGGTTCCCCCGTAGATTCGATGAATATTCGAAGAATATTCGAGAATAACAGAGGCTTAAAAAATGCTCTTCAAAAAACCGTCTTTAATAATCAAGTGTTAAGAAAGCATTGGTTTTGAGGGGGCTCGGCAGCGCAGATCACGAAGTGATCGAGCAGGGGATGGAGCCCCCGATAATTCTAGGCGACGGTGGGAAAATTTTTCACGAAGTGAAAAATTGGGGTCGCCTCCCATTGGATTCGAAGAATATTCGAGAATAACAGAGGCTTAAAAAATGCTCTTCAAAAATCAAGTGTTAACAAGGCCCTGCCAGGACAATGTTGATTTAGCTGTTTAAATCGCGACAACAAATATAGCTGGTTTTGTAGCGGCGCGCGTGTCTTAGTGCATGTTTTTAACAATGGTTGTTTAATGTAGATAGCACATTTCATCAGCGCATGTATAATAATACAATGTTTTACAAAACTATGGAATCTATATGTTTTTTTAATTTGTCTGTCAAGCGTGTCACATGTACATGTTTAACAATGTTTTATATAATTTTGTTAAAAGTGTTTTTACTAATTGTTTCAGGATTTTGAATCTTTTGTATATCGCTTTTGTATTAATTACTTATTACAAACAGTTATTAGTCAAACATGAGGATTATTCTTCATCTTAAGTTTTAGCTTGATAGTTATTTTAATAAATTTTTTAATTTTTCGATTTCATCATTTACAAATTTTTAGTTGATAGAATATTATCTTCTATAGTAGCCCTAAAATTTTGTGAAAACCATTAAATGACATAGATAATGTAGATTGATGTTGTGAATAAACTTGAATTTTGGTTAATCCATTAAATGCTGCCAGCCATTTTCTTTTCCATTCGTCATAACCTAGTGAAACTGAAGATTTTGTTGGTTCAATAATAATAAAATATTTTTAATCATCATCAACACAGTATACGTGATATAAATCTAGTAATGCATTAACTATCTTTTTTCATTATCATTTGTTACTTTAATGATAAATTTTTTAATCTTATCTGCCATCATATCTAATTTAATTGTTTTAGAGTTATCAGATGGATTTATTAATAAAAGTGTAAATTCAATAAATTTAATATTATTAAAATAAATTCTGATAATATCTTGTCGGTATTAAAATTTTATAATTTAATTGATTGCTATGGTGTACTACTTTACCATTTACTCTGCTATCAATCTCATTCTTTGTATAATAGTTAGTTAAATTAGAAGTCAAAGCATACTTACCATCAGTTTTGTTTTTGTATAATAGTTATTTAAATTAGAAGTCAAAGCATACTTACCATCAGTTTCAGTTTTGTATAATAGTTATTTAAATTAGAAGTCAAAGCATACTTACCATCTGTTTCATTTTTGTATAATATTTATTTAAATTAGAAGTCAAAGCATACTTACCATCTGTTTCATTCTTTGTATAATAGTTGGCTAATCTTGAAACAAAAACATATTTATTATCAGATTGAGTTTGAGTATAAAATTTATTTAAATTAGAAGTCAAAGCATACTTACCATCTGTTTCAGTCTTTGTATAATATTTATTTAAATTAGAAGTCAAAGCATACTTACCATCTGTTTCAGTCTTTGTATAATATTTATTTAAATTAGAAGTCAAAGCATACTTACCATCTGTTTCAGTCTTTGTATAATATTTATTTAAATTAGAAGTCAAAGCATACTTACCATCTGTTTCAGTCTTTGTATAATATTTATCTGATAGATGTGTTTTATCTACAGGTCCTTGTATATTTACATTAATATCTGTTTTATCGTGCCCATAAAATAAGCTCATTTATATTATTCCTCAGATTTTATATCCGGTTTATTATTTTTATGTTCGTAAACATGTTTAACGGTTGTTATACCACCAGATAAAACCCTAAAAAGGTAATAGGGTGATATTTTTCTACTAAACTGTACACATCTCGTTTTAAAAGGTCGTCTGATTTAAGCTGTTTTGTTAATTCTTTGGGATCTTCAATAGCATCAAACCCTTTTAATATATCTGAAAATTTTGATATAACTAAATCAGTTAAAACTCATTAGCTTTTTGTAATCGTTTTTCTCGTATTCAATGTATAATTTATCAATAATTTTTGACTAGCTTTTTAATGTAAGCAACTGACTTGTCTAAATCACCATCTTCAGCTAGTTTAAGTAGTTGATCTCTTTTATTAAAACCTCTTGCGGTTTATCTTGTATATTATCATCACATACAGCATCTTTGATAGTATCATTTGCGGAATCAATCTCATTAATTATATCATCAATTGTTTCAGGCTCTTTACGCTTTGGCATATATATATTAACACATGTTTTATTGCGGAATAACAATTTTCCATTGGTATGGATATATTAGTTGAATAAATAGATGAGCAAATTTATTATTTTTCAATTTTTTTGTTATTTCTTCTATATCATCTTTCTCAACACCATAAAGATAATCATCAAATATTGTTTTCATATTATTGCGGTTTGTATTATAAAATGTAACTAAATAACTTATATTTTCACGATAAGGTTTGGCAATACTTGTCAATTGCTGTGTAACCACAATAGTAGAAAGTCCATAATGACGAGCACTGAATGCTAAACGAACTAATTCAGATGTCCTATTTTTAACATCTAACAACTTGCACAATCATCAAATAATAAGACTATTTGTACCTTTATATACATCACTAACATATTTTAAAACAATATCTACCTGATCTTGGTCACATTCTACCTTAATTAAATCAGAATCATTTATATATTTCCATTCTTGATAGGTTTTATTATATGATAGCGGGCATAATAAAATAATATAATCAAAATGTCTATTAAAGTTTTTCTTCATTCTTAAAAGAATGAAGGTTTTACCACAATTTGTCATACCTACAATAATCATATTAAAAGGTGTATTCATTTATATATTACTGGTTATTTAGTATTGAATACTTTGTAAATCATTATTAACAAATTGAACAAGAGCATCACTAATAACATAGATGTAACAGTTTAAATCTTTTGTATATGCTCTTTTTAATTTCTAGTAAACGCCATTTTGAGTATTAATGATTTTTTACCGTTACCAGCAATATTTTTTCTTGAAAGGTGCGTAGATCGATAACTAATGCAAATTTATCCTTATAAAATTTTTCAATTGTCATGAAGCAATCTATCGGAATAGTTCTATCAAAAATTTTCTTGCTTCTTCATAAAATGTTTTTATTCATACCTTGGCGAAAATACAATTTGGCACACCCTCTATTGTCACAGAAATTTTATCGATTAATGGAAATAGAAATTTTCACTATCACTAACTGAATTTTCTGTAAATAGTAGTACAATGCCTTTCATACTTTTACGAGGGACATTTACGTTTATATTCTGTAATGTACTTGACTTATCCCATTTTTCCTTTTTAAGAGGGTTATATGTTCATAAAATAGGCTTCTTCCTATAGAATATAAATTTGTCACCTCATCTGCAATTTCTTGATTTTCAATAGTTTCATATTCAAGCTGAATATTTTCTAATTCATAATCACCTATATTTTGACCACTTTGGGGATAAGGACTTGATCACTTGGTGGTAATGTTATTATGTATTGAAAGTTATTATTCATATTGAAAGGGCAATACAGACCATGGTCTTTAAGAATATTATCAATATTAATTTTTGTCTTGTACCATAAATATCATACATTAATTTGTCTGATACTTTTCTGAACTTCCACTTGTTGCAGCACTATCATCTTTAGAAATGAGTTTTCGTAAATTTTACAAATACCATATTCAATAAGGCCTTGTCGATCACTTTTAGGTAACCACAAGTCTTTGTATACACTTATAATATTATGTTCACTACAATCGTAAAGGGTTTCCCAGCCACTTTAATTTGTAGTCTATGTTGTAAAATCTGACTGAGATTATTTATAAAGTGACTTTTGTATTACTGATTTTAAGATCAAACGATAGATTAAGTGAACCAGGCACTAAGCAACTATTTGCTTTCAATTTCGGAATATTAATATAAACTTGTTCATTCGGTTTAAGACTATTAGGGTTAAAGGTTATACTATAAAAGTACGGTTACCTTTAATTTTGTCATAGCAGTCTTTTATAACCAGGTAAAAGCTCTTCTTGTAATAATCTATTCATATATATTAAAACATATTTTATTTTCTTCTTTGTTTATACTGATCATATATTAACAAAGCAGCAGCAATAGCTAAAATCCATAGATTAGAAGCTACCCATGCTAAACCTTTAGCTCCCAAGATATAGCCTGAGCGATAATATTCAATAATGGTCCTAACACTGGCCATAATTTTTACCTATATTTGCTAAAGCCTTAGAAAATTTACTAGTAGCTTGAGCACCTTGTAGGATTGCTTTTCTAGCTCCTATGACAATGGTTGTAATTATACCAGCCACAGATATAGCTAAAGCTGATAATCCTGGGATATTTTCCTTAACCCATTCTTTAAACTGTTGTAACCTAGTAATGTCTTCTTCCTGTTTATCTCGTACAT